ATATCCCCGGACAAAATTCTTAAAAATATAAAAATTCATCAATAATAATTTGAAAATTAATCTCAACATTATTTTTTTAGTGTGTTTGTGTGTTTATTCAAAATTAAACCAACAAAAACGCGGGGATATTTTGTCGCGGGGATATTTTGTCGCGGGGATATTTTGTCGCGGGGATATTTTGTCGCGGGGATATTTTGTCGCGGGGATATTTTGTCGCGGGGATATTTTGTCGCGGGGATATTTTGTCGCGGGGATATTTTGTCGCGGGGATATTTTGTCGCGGGGATATTTTGTCGCGGGGATATTTTGTCGCGGGGATATTTTGTCGCGGGGATATTTTGTCGCGGGGATATTTTGTCGCGGGGATATTTTGTCGCGGGGATATTTTGTCGCGGGGATATTTTGTCGCGGGGATATTTTGTCGCGGGGATATTTTGTCGCGGGGATATTTTGTCGCGGGGATATTTTGTCGCGGGGATATTTTGTCGCGGGGATATTTTGTCGCGGGGATATTTTGTCGCGGGGATATTTTGTCGCGGGGATATTTTGTCGCGGGGATATTTTGTCGCGGGGATATTTTGTCGCGGGGATATTTTGTCGCGGGGATATTTTGTCGCGGGGATATTTTGTCGCGGGGATATTTTGTCGCGGGGATATTTTGTCGCGGGGATATTTTGTCGCGGGGATATTTTGTCGGGGATATTTTGTCCGGGGATATTAACGCGCGTCACCAAAAAAATTGATATGTGAATTAGAAATATTCAGGAAATAATTGATATAAATTCAGCGTAACTTTTAGAGCGGGATAAAATACTCTGAAAAACTCTGTGTAATAACAAATCGAGCCAGTGAATCGTTTCATGTACATTTTTAATTTATCCTTTAATTTTTCAAAAAACTATGAATTACTTTGTTTTCCTATTTTTTAAAGTTTACATTGGGAATGAAAAGAAAGTTTTTTCTTCTAAAAATCGAAATATAATCTTGTAGGAAATTTATTACAATTTTTAGAATCGGGTTCGAGTATACTGTACGCAGTAATTGGTTGCTGAGATATCGATTATTGAAGGACCCTTTTTCTATGAATTCTTAAGTCCGAGGTTACAACAGAAGATGGCTGTAACTCGAAAATGTGAGAAAAAAATTAGAAAAACGGTTCACCCTAAAGGCTATCCCTGCAACTTCCCGCTCATTTTGTACTTAAACGCTTCAAACTACGCATTACGTTTTTGAGCTCTTCGAGCTCAAAAATATTATTTTTGTGTCAATTTGAGCTCTTCGAGCTCAAAACTCTAATAGCAGTTTAAATACACAATTTTTTGAATTTTCAAACGGCAATAACTTTTAAATGAATGAACCGATTTTCACGCGGTTGGCGGCAATCGACGCAGTTTTTGAAGCTCCATGAAAAATTTTCAAGTTTGAATCAATCGAGCCATGAATTTCGAAGTTATTACAAAAAAACACTTTTTTCGATTTTTTTCGACAACGATATCTCACGAACGCATCAACCGATTCTTACGTTTTTGGTGGCGATCGATGGGGGTTTTCAAGGTTAAGAGTTGATTAGTTTTTGAGACCGATCGGTTCAGCCAATTCAGAGATATTTAAAAAAAATAAAAAAAACAACTTTTTTTTCACTTTGCATTTTCTTGAAATCTACCGGTCCGAATCGGTTCAAATTTTCAGAAAATCTAAGTTTAGTGAAGCCCTTTCGAATGGCACCAACAGCGATGAAATCGGTCAAGTCGTTCAAAAGTTACAAGAGGTTTACACACACACACACACACACA